CTGTTTTGGCGAGAGAGTTTGCTATCTCGTTACCCCTAACTCCCGTATGACCTGGTACCCATATAATGCGTACTACGCCGTGTTGAGAGTAGTTGTTGAATGAATATACATTCCAAAACAGTTGTTGAAGTTACTGTTTTGGATTTTTTAGCCCTTATAGCTGATATGCTGTCCGTTAGGACGTTTACGGCATTAAGCCAGTTCAGACACTCTGCAATCGCCCGGACCTCCGCTTGCAGGATCGTATTGTGATCGGACAAGCGGAAAGAGATTTCGGTGTTTGTGTCCTCGATAAAGGGTTCCAGTCCCGCTCTCTCCCCTAGCACTTAGCCGTCTGTATAACAACAGTTTCCAGTCGGCATTTGTGGTAGGAATCCGTCGATCCACGCGTCTCTTAGAAAAGTAAGCTGACGTCTATATAACAGGACCAACAAAATCAAACTTAGTACGGACTTGAAGGCGTATATTGGCTATTGATAGGTACAATAGCGAGATCTAGAAGGCTAAACATAAATCTTGGTTTGGTTCACTGAGTCCATAGAAGATGTTACTAGGTCCATAGAAGATGTAAGCACCCTAAATCCATTGGAAGCATAAAGCGGATAGCTGGTACGTGGACTGACTTTCCTATGGAGACTCTCAATCTATTGGCCAGCACCCGTGGAGGAAGTTCACAGTCACTTATATCCCTAAGGCAGGGAAACCAAGTCATGCACTTCCGAAGGACTACAGGCCTATAAGTCTTTCGTTGTTTCTTTTAAAATCCCTTGAAAGGCTTACAGATTTAGAAATCAGAAATTCGCTACCTACAACCTAGTTAAGTACCTCGCAAGTCTGTTGAAACAGCGCAACACGACGTTCAGGGCTATATTGAGAAGAACCTGAATAGCATGTTTCACATTGGCAGCTTTCGTTGATATAGAGGAGACCTTTTATAATGTCACACTTGACGCCATTCATAATTCTCTCACTGAACTTGGTATACAACTACTCCTCATTGAATGGATTGATGTTATGCTCAGCAGTAGAATCATCAGCAGCAGAATCAAGTGTTCCGTCAGGAAATCAGTGACCAGGGGCACTCCTCAATGGGGGGTCTTATCACCACTACTATGGCTTCTGGTGATAAATAGTATATTAATAGATCTGGAACACAATGGAACTAAAATCGTTGCTTACGCTGACGACGTAGTTCTATTGATTTCTGGGAAATTCCTGCAAACTGTATCTGACCTAATGCAGGGAGCTCTTGTAAGGCTATCGAGATGGGCGCTTCGCAATGGGCTTTGCGTCAAGCAGAACTTGTTTTCTTTAGGAGGAAGCGGAATCTCACGGAATTTTTACCACCATCGCTGGATGGCGTCACATTGAGTCTTTAGTCTGAAGCCAAGTATATCGGCACCATCCTCGACCAGCGTCTGAACTGGAGGAGGGACATCGAGGAACGCGCTAAACGAGGCTTGATAGCACTCTTCTCCTGCAAAAACTCCTCACTTAGAAGCACACCTCACTCTACATTTTACACCCTACCTAACTTTAATCCCTTTAATTCTATTTGTATAGGAACAAGCTGCGAGATGTGCACTGAGACTCAAGGAACTTGGTACATGGCGTAGTAAATCTTACGGACATTCGCTCATAATGAATTATGTGGGTCGGGTTTTAACTAGTGACTATATATAGACTTCGAAACACTAGACATCCACAAACCTAGCAGAGACATTTGGACCCAGAACACTCCACCTTTCACCGGTACAGCTATCTATACCGATGGCTCTAAGATGGAAAGTGGAAAAGGTGCAGACGTTTTCTGCGAAAGCCTGAATATACGGAATTCATTCAAACTCAATAAAGGTTTTAGTGTATTCCAGGCAGAAAACTTTGCTGTCAGGAAAGCCGCAGAATTGCTGATGGATCGAACAGTTGAACTGTGATATATATGTCGATAGTCGGGCCTAAAAGCGCTAAATTCATCCACCATCATATCTATGCAGTCCTGGAGTGCTTGCTCTGGAAAAATTGAAGCCCTTTTTAAGCTTTTCTTGGTTCCTGGTCATAACAATTTTCCTGGTCATTGGCAAGAAGTGGCTCCGAATCAACTGTTCTAGAGATTGAGCGCTCGGTGAAACCACCATTGTGTTACTTCTTTCAGATTATACACAAACACGATTCTGGAAGATATCAGCATAACTGGCAAAATGCAAGTGGATGTATTATTTCCAAAAAATTGGACAGTAATCTCCGAAAGGAGATCTCTATCACTCATTTCCATGGCGAAATCGAACCTAAAACTGGTAGTAGGCTTAATAGGTAGGCTTAATAACAGGTCACTGTAATATTAGGGCAATGACTTGTGGGTGGTGACGATTCTAACTATTGTAGACTTTGTCAAGACGATGAAGAGATAGAAACTGCGGAACACTTACTCTGTCAATGTCCCACTCTGTTAAGAGTCAGACTGGGGCTCGCGGGTAAACAAAATCTGTATGATCTCTCTTCACTCTCCATTGCTGAATCGTCAATTATTCTTCAGTTAGCTAGAATACTAAAATGGCTAAAGACAACACGATAAATTCTTTGTGGATACATCGTTTTTAACATAAGCTTTTTTCTTTCCCTGTATATTTCTTTATATTCACTCCATCAGGATAATCACAATGGACCTGCAGGTCCCCAAGTGGAGCTGTTGCATACATTTACAAAACTTGTTTGATGTGACGATGTAAATAGGCCATTGGTTAGTCCTGATTTAATTACCGCCCCCGAGTGACAGGTGCAAGTGTTAGAAAAAACAAACAAAACTAATTACATTTATTTTCAACAAAGAGAAAAACATCAAACACACAAACCACAGTGAAAATTCAAAAAGTACATTGTACATAAAGATGGTGAATAATACCTATTAATAACGCTGAAAACAAAAAGTGTAAAATGTTGTAAATGGTTAAACAATTGTACTAAAACTTATCCTTTCATTAAAGCCCTACAACCCAATGAACTATAGATAAAATTGCATATATATATATATATATATATATATATATATATATATATATATATATATATATATATATATATATATATATATATATATATATATTTGATATCACATTAACTACTGCTTCACATAGTAGATACACATTTTGATGTGTGTACCAAATATCATTGTTATAGAGTGCATGTTATGACTTTGTGTGTACTTTTAGCACATGAAATCGTGTATTCTTCGGGCAAACTAATAATTTGTTTGGCTGGATTCTTATTGTAAGAAAACATTATTAAAGCTTTTATTTGGCGTTTTCATAGAAAAAAACTTGGCATAAAAATAAAGGAAAATAGTGTCGGCTTCTTTGTTCGGGATACCGTAGTATTTTTTTGTTGAAAAAGGGTCAGGCTTATCCCTTTATTGTTGTTTTTATAAAAACAACGTTTGTTTATTAGTGGAGAAAGATGGTAATGTTTACCAGGGGGTGAGGCAGGGAATATCTAGGTTTCGGAAAGAGCCACCAATCCTCATCAGTTCCCTTGTTTTTTTGTCTGGGATATTCTCCCCAGAAGTTATTTTAAAAATAACTTCTATGACAAAAAACATTTTTTACCCAAGTGACGAGATCGTAAGCTCAATAGAAGAGGAACCAAAGAATTAAATAAAATTAAAATTATTTTGGAAAGTCTTCTAAATCTTACAACCGCACTTATAAACATTTACATCTTTCTCCACTTGTTATGCTTTCGTTCAACCTGAACGAAGTAGCATAACCATGAAAGTCGGTTTTGTCTGTTACAACAAAAACCCATTCGTCGACCGTACCTTGTCTATTAATAGAACAGTGTTGGCTTGTTTGTTCGGGATAACGTAGTATTTTGTTGTTGCAAAATAGTCAGGCTTTATCCCTTTATTGTTGTTTTTATAAAAACAACGTTTGTTTATTAGTGGAGAACGATGGTAATGTTTACCAGGGGGTAAGGCAGGGAATACCTAGGTTTCGGAAAGATCCACCATTCCTCAACAGTTTTCTACTTCGTTCAGCTTGAACAAACGCATAACAAGTGGAGAAAGATGTAAATGTTTATAAGTTCGCTTGTAAGAATTTTAGTTTTATTTTATTCTTTGGTTCCTCTTCTATTGAGCTTACGATCTCGTCACTTGGGTAAAAAATGTTTTTTGTCATAGAAGTTATTTTTAAAATAACTTCTGGGGAGAATATCCCAGACATCCCCTGGTAAAAATTACCATCGTTCTCCACTAATAAACAAACGTTGTATTTATAAAAACAACAATAAAGGGATGAAGCCTGAGATGGGGATGGTCAATGTTTCTTAACATAAAAATTAAAACCGAACTGGTGCAACCCACGTTATCATTTAATCTCTTTGGAAATTGTGCAAAAACCTTTAAAATTCCGAAAATTGGGAGATACCATTGTATGGAGTCTACACCAATTAGTAGACCTACACCAATTTGGTACCTCTAAAAATCAAGAGGTACTGTTATAGGGGGGCTACACCTAAACATGGTCCATAAATAAAATAGTAAAATAATAAAATAATAATGTGGACTGTATCGTGATTTTAATGGTCAAACACATATCGCTCGACCTGTGTACTGCAAAAAAAGAAAGCACACAGATATGTGCGATCAAGGTAAATTGCAATTCGATTTATCAATATTCGCACAATCTTTGAAATTTGGCACAAAGTTTTATTTATGGACCATATTTAGGCCGTTTAGCCCATATAACAGTACCTCCAGATTTTTTGAGGTACCAAATTGGTGTAGGTCTACTAATTGGTGTAGATTCCATATGACGGTATCTCCCAATTTTCGGAATTTTGAAGGTTCCTGCCACAATTTCCAAACAAATTAGATGATTATGTGGGTTGCACCAGTTCAATTTAAGTTTTTATGGGAGGTTAATTCACCATCCCCATTTTTTCTTTTATTTTTATGCCAAGTTTTTATCGCGTTATTTGAATACAAAGTTCAACATTTCCCACGACGAGCGTTGTCAGGCCTGTAACTATGTTTAAATTCACAGCCTCTGTTGCGAAGCAGACAAACAGAGCGATATAAACCTTGTGTGTTCTATTCTCTCGTATTTTGTAGTGGGACCATAACGGTCCACAATAGTCGCCGCCAAACACAACAAATGGCCTTGTAGTTCCCATTGTAGACTTCCCATAATTTGATTGTATAACCTCGGTTTTGCTCGTATGCATCTTACGCAATTTTGCACAATGTTGCGTGTCATAGCCTTCCCCTTGAAGATCCAATATTTCTGTCTTGAGGTTGCGAGTAGCAGTTGTGAACCACAGTGGTTCCAAATAAATCATGTCAAGGATCAGTTTTACAATTGAGTCGTTGTATGGTAATGACATCTTTTTTCGTATACTAAGGTTACCTCCGGAGTTAAACTGTTTATGGAAATTCATTTGTTCAATGCTCCATATTTCCTGAACTGCTGTATTTCTTTCGCGAAATCCGACACCTGGATAGTCTTGGGGTCAATACTTCTGTCGAGCTTCGATGCTTGCGTTCTGTTTTACTTTCGCAAGTCGCAGGACAATTCGCTGTAATCGACTAAATGAACTCTTGTGGTTGATAGCTGACACAGCAGATTCCATCTTAAATTCAAGGTCAGTTCGAATTCCTTATTTCTTTGAGAAAGGTTCCAGCCAGAGAGATTCATTTCCGTGTAGAAATGTGGGTCCATAAAACCACAGCATACTTCCTGACAGCCGACCCGGTTTCATGACTCGATATGAAATCTGCTGCATTATCCTTTGTCTATGTCGCCATTGATTGCTCAGCGATCTGCCTGGTATACGAACGTACGTTTTTAGTGTTGAATGTCCTGAATTGATCCAATTCAATGTAATCTCTGAATCAAATAATAGTCCATTTCTGCCGGCTGTTCATCGTCGTAAACAAATTTTATTCTTCCACAGCTTCTGAATAAAGATCTTCGCTGCTGACACCACAGGAGCTGCAATTCCTTATGGTTCGAAGAATCTTGCCAAATCTAATGTGACTTTCCGCTTGGTGATGTTGGTAAATGCATTCACATCAGTCTTCAAACAAAATTGGTCTGCTTGGGGAAAACATGTTGATCCAAAAACATTGATAGATTAAAAATAAATAAATCTTGCTTCAAGTAGTAACTGCTAAACTGCCAGACACTCACAACATTTTTTGAAGTACCATCGCCCCCATTTGTTATTTTTGTATGTTCGTATTTGCTAGCCTTTTCAGATATCTTGTAGCAAGATATGGGGCGCACGTAGTACGTGTTCAACATCAGCACTTGTCTATACATCTTCTTAATTAAAAAAAAACTTTTAATACCTGGACTTCAGCTATACGAGGCTGTATTTCTCTCCACATTAGTTTAATTCATTTTTCATTCTGTCAATTTTGGACAGACTTCACCATCGTTTTATTGGCATGGGAGCACATTTGTTGGAAGTAGAGTCTCGGAAATTGCTGATCCCAACAATCGGTGGGAAAGACTCAAGATTATTTCACAGCATTTTTGCCACAGATGGAAGTTAGAATATCTCCACGAACTTTACAGAAGAAATAAGTGAAACTGTGAAAAATATCAAGGAAAGAGATTTAGTTGTCGTAAAAGATGACAGGCTGGCTCCGCATGAATGGAAGTTGGGTCGTATCGATAGTACGTATTCAGGTAGTGATCAAAATACCAAGTTTGTAGTCATACGGACAGCAAGTGGCAAAATTAGCAGACCCATAACAAATGTTGTCGAATTGTTTTCCGACTGACTAGTCGGATTTTCACTCAAAAAAAAATTTAGTTCTCGTCTTTGGTTTTTTTCAGATATGGCCGCTTACTTACCCGACCAGGACTGCCGTTTAGACGATCGCTGTCGTAGCCCAGTCAAACAGCAAAAAGAGCCAACATACCCATACGGCCAATCCAACGTCCCAGTTCAACATCCCCTGAAAGGCGACAGAGAAGCAGATCTGATAAGATAAGACCCCGGCCAAGCCATGAGTGATCCACTCAATTGCTCTATGCCAAGAAGACCATGCCCTCAGTGTCTGTGAGATGTTCCGCAGGCAGACGCTCTTCCAGCGGTATAAGACAGTGGAGCGTCTGCGCTATTGCCGGAATTGCCTGACGAGAAATTATCTGGCCTCCGACAGCCCGTCCTTAACTGGTTGCTGGAGATGCAACGATCGGCACCATACGTTAATGCACGGGGCGTCTCAGTTGGACGAGGTATCACTCAACATAGGGGCCGTAACCAACCCAGTTTTCGCGTGGGGTTTGGTATTTGTACCAACGGCTATGGTACGCATAACGGCCGAGGGCATGGAGGTGTTTAGCATGTTGCGAGCCATAATTAGCTAATCTGCGACGATGTCAAGGATTTCATATGCGAATTTACAAAGGGGAACGATTTGGCACCTACACAGTTTCGCCCCGCCGCACAAACAATAATTGGAGTCTGAAGGTAAATGCGGTAATATTTGAAGATCTGCCCAGTTGGGATTCGTGTTTGCTGGGCCCATTAAGAATATGCCTTGGAACTGAAGAACGTGGAACCTTATGGTACAATAAAAAGGAAAGGAAATCCGCTATTTACAATTTTTTCAAAGTGTGCCCGACTTTTGCCAATTTTGTGTATGTATTTGTTGTTTTAAAAAATAAATGCAAAATATTTTCGAAATCAATGATTGGAAGAAGCGTTCTTTGCGGGCGCGCATTGAAGTTGGTGGTGAATCTGTCTCACACAGGCCCTCCCAACCTAGGCTTATTACATCCGTCCAATTTTTATTACAAAGCCCCAAATACATTTTGCACACACTTACCAGTTTAGTTTACCTTCACGGAATCATCCCCAAAAATGACGACACTTAGTGTTCCATAATTAGCGCTAGAACGCTGACATTTTCATATTCAAGCATAATAAAAATACAACATTTAATTGACAAAGAAAATAATTATTGTTACACAAAAAATTTCAAAGACCTACAAAGTCCAAAGTTTTGGCCATTTGCTGGTTTGCCCACAAAATTTCCTGCCTAAAGGAGCTCACTTAGTCTAGTAATGATATGGTTCATTCGTACCAAAATTCCTATTTAAAAACAAATGACTTTGTATATCCCATCTAACATTTTTTTTACCTATCCTAACGATACAAATACCGCACAATCTACTCTTAAAACTTAAAATTAGATATATTAAAATTCAATCCTTAAACCTATCTTAGATTATCTCCTGCTCTCCTTCTCTTGATTGCAACTATATTTCTCTTTCTCTTTTTTTTTTTTTTTGATACGTGTGATTTTGTTTTTTGATTCTTTAGTTTCAGTATATATTTTTTTTATATAAATATCAGAAGGCACTTTTACGATTAATTTTCTGGTCTTTAACTTTTTCCGTCTTCTCTCAGGACCTGTTTCACTTCATCAATTCTTTATATTTCTGATTTTTATGTATGTTAGTAAATCATTAGCGACTACTTTAAGGTTTTAAAAATTGTATCTTCTTACTACATCATTATACTTATTCCTTTGGTGGCCTGTAGTCCTTTTTCGGCTATGGTGGAACTTTTATTCGGGTCTTCGGATATCAAACACCTTCCACAAAAATGAAGCCACTCGGTCAGTCTTAGTCTTAGTGCAAGACTTATTAGGTAGTCTCTTGGTGCGGTGTGATTTGTTACACAGGGTGCTTTATCTCCCCGTTCTGTGTGTCTTATTTCCTGGGTAACGACTCTGTGGTCACTCGCTCACCCAGGCAATTTGCAACTAAAAATACCTTTCATTAAGCATCTATTTTCCTTATTTTCTTTTACCACTTACTTAACAAATATTTATTATATCTTTTTACTTTTATTTTTAGCACACACATCCAGGTTATTTAAACTAAATTTAAATGTAATTTGTATCATAGTTTATTTAATAAAAAATTTAATTTATTCCACAACTCACATTGCCTCTGCAACGCAGAATTTCTATTATTTTTAGCAAAAAAGATATTGTAATTCTTTAAGCACTATTAAATTTTTGACACCGCACGATTCTTTGCACAACTGACTCAACCTTCTCGTGTGTTAAGGTTTTTTCTTTTATAACCCATATCTCTTCCCAAGCTAAAACGCCATATTTTTTACACATTTGTCTCTTGAGTCATTGCGCCAAAAATCACCCTATCTGCACTCTCAACCTAAAATTCTTTGCTTTAAACTAGAATGGAGTTTACCCTTTCATATTCGAAAATTCTCATCTTTTTTCATACCCCTTTCCTGTCTTACTGCTATCTATTTTTATTGCTACTCTTTATCATACATTTTTTGTGCTCTTCCATGCGTTCCCTTAAATGGTCATTGCATTTATTAAGTTACTCTTTATATTAACCCACTATCTTGCAGGCACGAATAATCATAGTTGGCAAGTCTAGCAGGCGAGAAGTAACATTGAACGCTCAAGCCGCACATTTATTACTACAGACTATCAACAAAAAATTTCATAAAGCTTGTTAAATACGATTGCAATGCTGAGAACATTTACAGCCCTGTGGTGCAGATCCAACTTACAACACCCAAATAAGGGTTCATGCCCACCAGTGGATTCCTCCACCTACCGCTCGTCTTTAAAAAGTTCCCCCTTTTCTGAACTGTGGCCACCCCCTTTTTCCAACGTAAACACGAATTACTCCCGTGCCTCCGACGAAGACCAATCTCCCCGTCCGGAAGCCCCCATTGAAGTTCATGCAACACAGGGGCACAAAAAATATTAAAATTACAAATAAAAAATTAAATAGATCTAAAATAATTGACATTTTAAGAGAAAAGAAGTTAATTTGTAGCACCCAAGTAACTCCTCCATTTTTCCAGCCAGTCTCTTTTGAACGTCTTTCCTCCTTTGTCTGCTGGCTTCAATTTCCAGGCTGAAACCTTTTTGAGTGTTGTGTTCTTTCTGTGGTGAAAGACGTCATGCTTCTCTGAACTAGGCATATTCTTTACAACTTGAGCTGCCTTCAGCATCTTATTATACAAGCGACACAGCTTTATATCCTTTTTCGTCTTCATCACGCTGACGAACAGTTCATGTTTACATTCTGCCGTGTTCCATTTCCATGTATATAAGTCATCTTGTTTTCTTTTCCACTTCGATTTTTTATTGTTTGATACTTGTCCATTCAAGTCTCTAGGGCTTGTTTCTTGTTCCTTCCCAAGTACTCCAACTTTAGTTATGGGGTCTTTTATGCGGACCATTTCGCCGTCATATTTTTGTTGTTATTGATCACTAATTTTGCAGCCAATTCATCAGTCTCATATCAGCCTCCAGCAAAAATAACTTTCTCCTCTCCAGCTTCTAGATTTGTAGCCAACCCGTTACGTTCGGTTTCAGCTGCAAGTCGTTTTCTTTTTGCACAAGACAACTCATCACTAAGTTGTCTTATTACCACCTTCAACGCCTTGCCCTCGCGTTCTGCCTCCTGGTTAGCCTTTTGTAATTTGTCTTTAGTATCCTCGGCAACACACACAGCATTTTCAACTTTCTCTTTCAAATTCGAGACAAGTTTAATGGCATCTTCTTTTTCATTTTTCTGTGAAATCAAGGCAACCGCCATTTCCTTAATATTAACTTCCATTTTTTCTCATTTCGGCTACTGCTGCTTCGCGCCCCTTTCGCTCGTTGTCCAATTCGAATGTTATGTAGGACACGTGTTTCTTCAAGCCTTTCTTTTTGGTCTCCACATTAAGAGCCTGCTTGACTTCAAGGATGACCTTAACATCTTTCGAGAACAGCCTCGCTGTTGCATTCGGCTGACGTGCTCTGATAGCATCGGCTCGTTTGGACTTCTTTAGATGCATCTCCAAAAACCGTCTATGAACGCCTGGATAGCATTTTACGTCTCTTGAAGCGTCCACAAGTTTTTATTTGGCGAAGTCAAATAAGCCTTCTCCGGCTTCCTCCGTCTTTAATGTACTCATTATTTCCATAATAGTACCCGTCATTCCGAGAAGAGTGGTAACCTTTTCCTTTATTTTCATCATTGGCGGCCATTTCACCGATTTGTCCTCCTGGGGATATGCCTCACTCCTTCTGTCTGAAGATCTCAAATATGAAGCCCCCTCGGTGGGCACCGCCACCACAGTCTTCTGTGACGAAGTCTTTTTCTGACTCAGCATCCTTTTATTTGGCTTATAAATTTCCTCTGTATGGGAACAATTACAGCTGTAGTTTTAGATCGGTAATTTTCCACTCTCGAAGACCAATTTTGGCCTAGCTGACAGAATTTCCTCGACGTTAAGGCAAATTCTTCAACATTTACATTTAGAACTTAAAATTGTACTTACGCAACATTGCACGAAAACAAAATAAGGAAACGAAATAAAAAATGTAGAAATTAAAATTGTACTTACTTATATTGCACAAAACCCCCAAAAAAGCTATTGAAAAATAATATTAAATAGAAACGTGAAATAAAATATACGAAACGTTTATATTTTTATAATTTACAAAAATACTCAAAAGACAAAAAAAGCCTAGCGAAAAAACAGATGCCCTACTTGTGGTACGAAGCAATAATTGCTTCGCTGACTTCACCGCCGCTTCCCAAAAGCCACCAAAATGTGGTCTTTTATACGGACAATTTAGCCATCATATTTTTGCTGTTCACTCTGACTAAAAAGTACAACACAAACAACAATCAATTTTTTAAAAAATGTTTTAAAAATGTCCCAAAAAAGAAAGTAGCATTGGGGTAATAGTACTAGATTTAAACAACCGAAGCCAGGTGAAGCGGTGAGTTTCAACAGATACCAGGATTTATCTGACCTAGATGATGATGGTAGTATTGAAGGTGGTGAAATTGCGGAAAGCAGAATTAAGGTTCCGCCGATAGTAGTTGACAGCCAACACAGCTTAACAAAAGTTATGATACTTCTTGGACACAGCTCCAATTACAAAACAATGTCAATTGGAACCAAAGTATTTTCAGAAACAATAGCGAACTTCAACGATGCAGTTGAAAAACTAAAAGTCAATGGCATGAAATTCTTCACCCATTCCTTGGTCGATCAGAAGAAATTTAAGCTTGTTCTGTTTGTATTGCCCAGAATAAGTATCGGAACCCTTCAGGATGAATTTAAGAATAATTTCAACATTGAACCTGTTGACGTAAAGGAAATTCCAACTAAACGAAGTAACCCAGACGATGCATTATATATGATCGAATTTGACAAGAACCATGTAAGTAAAAATGAAGTAAGGAAAATAAAGTTTCTCTGTGACGTTGTAGTGCACTGGAGGAATCCTCTTAGACTACTCCACTTGTCAATTAAACAAAACTGCTCGTGGGCCCGTGATATATAAGTGCTATAATTGCATTGCAAAAGGTCTAAGCAATGTTAATCACAGAGCAGATGACAAAAATTGCCCACAGCGAAACGAGTACCTTCAAATTAGAGCAAAATTACTTTAAAACATATCTCTAGTAAATTGAAAAGAATCTTCTCTGTACAAAATAATGGACTTTCTAGTGACCATTTAATAATGCCAAATTTTTCAACATCATATGCTTCAAAAGTTAAAAATAATGATGAAAAAAAGAGGATGATTTATCCAATGAAATAATCCTTCAAATTTATTTTGAGGCTATTGATGCCCTACAGATATGTCGGAACAAATGTGACAAAATGCGAGTTCTTGGAATGATG